AGCACACGACCTGCGGATTTCTCCGCGGGGGCCTGGGCCGCGACCTCGCGCCGCGCCTCTTCGCGACACTCACTCCCCTGCCCGGCCCCGTCCCCGTTTGGGCCTACCTTGGCGGCACCCCCGACGGCACCCACACCCTTCCCGTCTTTGAGCTCAGCCTGATCCGGCTGGAGTGGCGCGGGGGAAGAGGAGGAGGGGGGTCCGTGACAACGGCACCGACCTTCGGGGCCAGGCCCCCGCCGCGCTTCGGTCACAGCGCAACGGTCTACGGGGCACGGCTTCTGGTTTGCGGCGGGGTCACCTACGGCAGGTCTTACCTCGGGGATCTTTATATTTTAGACACCACCACCATGGTCTGGCGGGAGGTCTTCGTTCCTTTTAGCCGTGGTGTCCCAGCCCGTGCCTTCCATGGAGCTGCTATTATACCGCTTTGCCAGACTACACAAATCTCTTTGGGAGGTAATCCACCAGGCCTAGGGCGCGATGCGTGTGAGGCGCACGATTATAGCAAACCTGGTCCGGATTCAGCTCATTCTTCATCTCTTCCTATTTTTTGTAGCAGTGGTCAAGCGATTCGCTCAGGACATCAGACATATTCAGGTAATGATGCGCTTTTACTAATTGGTGGTGAAAACGTAGAAGGTGTTTCTGAGCCTTCTGTTTGGGTTATGATCTTACACGACTACACGTGGCAGAGGATCACCTTTCCGTTTCAAAATGAATTATTTAGTTTCCATGTAGTCGATTCTCTTCCATCATCTTGCTCTAGTTCTGTTTCCTCTCAGGAAGCAAAAGCGTTCACTGAAACAACGTCAGGCACCTTTCTGAGCCCTCAGCGGTTGCGTCAGACAGTCCTAACACTACATGAGCGAAGTCTACGCCACAATGCGCGTCGTTCTTCTTCAAAAGCCTCAACATTCCCAGGTTTAGGTGTTGAAGACAGGGAGCCCTTCGTATACTCGACCTGCCACGGTTCACTTTTCCAGTTGCTGTCTTTTCCTACGGAAAACTGCGGGGTGATGATCTTTGGAGGTACTCAAAGCCCACCTATTATGTTAGCTACAAACATTGTCGTTCCTACTGGCAGCCTTAAGGAGCGCACCGCTTTTTGGCTATTCTGTGACAATACTGATAGTACTTATATTAAAAGTATTCTAAATCGAATGTCGCATCTGGTCCAAACCATGTTTGCTGGAACACCGTTTTTAAATTTCTTGCGTTTTCCTGAAAAGGATAATAATAGGGATCGTTTCCGCTGTCAATCATCTTCAGAAGCTTCCCCTCCTGCTCGTTTTGTAGAAGAAGCCGATCAGTTAGCTAATGAAGTTCTCTTATCAGACACACTGTCTATGTGGGTTCGAGCAGCGCGAAAACGTTTGATGGCAAGTAGTTCTTTTTCTAACTGATATGTTTGCATGCGTCTTTACATTTTTTTATTTTAGACTTTTCGGTATTCATGTGGGAATAAATGTCCCTTTTTTTGGTAGTTAGTAAATTTTTATTTTTTTCCCTATAATATGGAATTTCTATTCCAACTTTTTAAAGACTATTTTTTTTTTGCATTCAGTATTCTAACGACAGACAGGCGAGCCACTAACAAGTTTTTCAAATTTCGATATATGCAAATTAATGTTATCGTTAATATATAGAAAATTAAAATACTTCCGAGCTCTATTGTATGATTTCTTTATCTTTAGCCTAACCTCTCATTGGTATCGAGAAGTGCTCCTAGAGTGCCCTGTGGGTACCAGAATGCTGGATGTGGGCATTGGTACCGCAACAAGCCTCATCGACAATAGCCATATTCTTTTCAGCAAACACATAAGCGTCGTAGGCGTAGATTACGACTTGGATTATGTCAAAAGAGCCAAAATCAACATAGCAAAAAACGGCAACTTACAATATGTGGTGCGCGTTAAGCATGCTAATATACATGATTTCAACGCAGACTTCTCCGAAAAATTTGATGTCATCTATTTCTCTGGAAGTTTTATGGCGATTAAAAACCAAACTGAAGCCCTACGACACTGCACGCGCATGTTGCGTGACCCCACCTCAAAGGCACAAGATGAATGTACTATTTTTTTTAGCCAAACATTCGAGAAGCGCACGCTGTTAGGAAATTACGTAACACCTTTCATAAAACAATTTCTGAAATTCTTGACCACTATAGATTTCGGTATAGTAACCTATGAGGATGACTTTAGGGATGTTTTAGAGCGAGCTGGTATTGAAATTTTAAGGTTCAAGACGCTGAAAAATTCATACATCAGGTCCCAAGCTATAGTAATGGCTCATCCAAAGCTATGCAAAGTGGATACATGAACTTTTTATTTTATTTCCATTGAAGGGTATAAGTTTTTAAAATTATTTTTTACTATTTTCTATTAATTACTCTCATAAGGGAGTTTTGAAGTATCAGAAATGATGTAACCTAGAATCTTGAAATGCTCAGAGCCTTTTTATGGCACTTTATTGCCACACATGTTTCATTCTTTCCTATATGAGCATCATTATTACTTCTTGCCTCACTTTAAGCATTTTACTTCTGGTAGTTATAGGTGTCAGATTTATTGAAATTTTTTTTGTCCCAGTGCTTCTTATATATCAACTGGTCATACCATCAGTCGAATAAATAGGTCACACCATGTTGATTCCAACTACTTTGAGCATCGGGGATGCCACTTGGTCGCAAAGTGAGGACAATGAAAGTGTATTGGAAATTCAGATACCGAATATCGTCCCAACAAACGCCCGCCCGCGCGATCTTTGTGTAGAGATCAAGGACTCAGCGGTTCTTTGCATTAGCCACGCCGGTAAACGTCTGCTTCAGTGGCGCCTTCATTCCGCCGTTAACAACGAGGTGGAGTGGCGCGTTGATAATGCCGTAGTGGTGCTAGATCTTGAGAAAAAGGTCCCGACGGTGTGGAGTTGCCTTTTGGACCTTCCCTTGTCGGAGGACGACTCGCTTTTAACCCCCTTAGATGAAATCAACAGGATGTTTACTCAATACTTCCCTATGCTGCCACCAGTTGTGGATGACGAGAGCGAGCCTATGGCAGCTGAAAAGGTGAAGGACGAGCCTCAGGAAATAAAGGAAAATAAAGGGGATGATGACGATCTCGACAAGCTCCTTCAGGAGGCCGCCGATGAGATTGTGATGGATAAAAAAGACGAAACGGACACTTACAGTGCATTTGTGAGGGCCGAGCTCGAAAACTACAAACGTGAGGAGGAAGAGGTTAAGAAGAAGAGGGCCGAGTTGGATGTACAGGCGAACGATCCTAGCGATCCTGCCGTCGCTCAAGTATCTAAGGACCAAGTAAAGATCCTAGATAAAATTCTATTTTTGCACAATGAATGCCGGAAGCTACGTTCCCAGCCTGTTTCACTGGAAAATTTTATCCAATGCACAAAGTTGGATTTACAGAAAGCGCGTGTTAACATTGGCGAAACCGGTGAGTCCGAAAACGAGGAATACAAAACTGAAGAGGAGAAGAGTCTGAGCGCCGCCGATCTGATCAAGTGCGGCCTCCATTTTTTAGAGGATAAGGATGTCAAGACCTGTTTACATTACCTTCGTTTAGCAGCCATTCACCACCAGAGCGATCAGGCTACGATGCTCCTGTATAACATCTACAGCCAGCTCGAATCACCCCGCGGGTCCTCTTTGCTGCTCAATCGCGCCCTGGACGACACGAACCCAAGCGCCTCCGCAAACCAGAAGCTGGGGGAGCTTTATGACAAGGGTGAACGACACTTTCTGCCCCTTTTTCCCGCCGCGTTATACTTCTTTGAGCGGGCCGCGAAGCTTGGTAGCGTAAGCGCGATGCTCAGCCTTTCGCAGCTTTGGCTGCGCGGGAGCACCGAATCCACCCTGGCTTCCGAAACGGAGATCGACCTCCAGAAAGATATTCCCAAGTACCATGCGTGGTTGAAAAAGGCGATTGATCGGGGCTGTGGTTCGGCCTATTTTGTGAAGGGCTGCATGCACATTAAGGGCGAGAATGGTGTGGAGAAATCGTACGAGAAGGCGAAGCACTATATCACGATCGCCAGTCGCGCTCAGCCGGAGCTGAGCAAACGCGCGGTGCAGCTCCCCGCAATGCTGGAGCAGTTGCGAAAGGAGGAGGAGGAGGCCGCTGGGAAGACGTCAAAGACGAATCTGAATCGCCTTTCTCAAAATGTCGAGGAGGAGGACAGCTTGCAGGTGACGCCCTCCGTCGCACGGCTGAATATGCTGACCAAAGCAGCTCCCTCTGAGGTAGCTGGCGCGCCGATTCGACGTTTTAAAAAATCTTTTGGTGGCTCTGCCAGTCGAAGGTTGTTCTGGGAAAAAACCTGCATGATGGGGACGGTTGCGTATGGTGTATATTCACTTGCCTTTCCACTTCGTGTTATGATTTTGCCTTTTGTTTACTCTATTCTTGGCAGCATTGTAGAGGTCGTTCCATGGTTGGCAAATCAAAACGCTGATACTTCCTTGTTCTAAGATATAGTCAAGCCGAAGAAAAGGTAAAAGGGTTTCCTATTTGAGTATAAACGAAACTTAGTGATCATTGCTAGTAAATTTGCGCAATTGCCACCTTGCAATATATAGATATAACATTACTTGTATATTTATGTATAATTGTCATTTTTTTGATAATATTGTGCGCTGAACTACATATTTGAGAGACATATGCAAGAATTAAATCTTAATAAAATGTGATTTGAATGTTTTTAAAGCTAGAATGGGAAACGTTAGTGTAAAAAAACATTAACCGTTTTAATTTATTATCGACACCAATAAAATTCCCACTTTGGCATTAACAATTAGAAATGATAAGTAAATTTAATTATAGTGATTTATCTTCAATTCTTAAGCCTTGGTAATCTTTTGAGGGCTACTTTCATTCTAATGTTTACGATATAATAACTTGGATTGATTGATTATTCACAAAGATTTTTCACGAGGTCTTCCTTTCATTTATCACCGATTTTACATCTTATTAGTTCCCTATTTTCTATTTCGATGGGTCTCCATCATGCGGCGTGTCTCTGCTAAGTATGGCTGCCCACTCGTAGGTGCGAATTTTCTCTTCTTCACTCTTCACAGGGGAATGACGCGCTACCACGGAACTCAGGGAAGTTCTACTACATCAGAGGCCGATGCGTTAAACGAGGGGCCAACGGCGGCTCCTGGGATGGATCACGGCAATACTTCCCCACCTGAGGAATCCGAGACGTCGAAGTCGCGGATTCGCTCGAGTGCCGTAAAGTCGGTGATGGAAAAGGCTGCATCGGCGAGACGGGATATTTTTGATTTATGGCGCACCACTAGTGAACTGGAGCGTAATTACTTGGGGAATCGAACCACTCCCAATGAAAAGGACGAAAGCGCTGGGGATCAGACCCGCATACTAGGGGTTGCGAGAATTTTAGAGACCTATCATCTCACGCCTAGTACGCCAAGGGAGGAGGATGTCTGCCGTGGTTTAGGCGATGCACTGGATCGTCTTTTGTTGTTGTGTGTTCCGTTTTCCAATACCGTTGGAACGACACAGCTTGAGCAAATCCTGCACCTCACCGGGCGTCTGGGCCGAAAGCTATCAGTACGCACCGTTCAACACCTTTTTTCGCGAACGAATAGCTACGCGGAGGCGTTGGCTGTCTTTTACGCCTTACGTCGTTGTAATTTTTCTATGAATATGGAAACTTACCATGCGATGATGTATTCACTTCAGCGTCTGGAAGAAGAGGGATGGGCCATACGTTTTCATGACGATTATGTCCAGAGTCGTGGGGAGAGCCTTTCGGAACAGGCTCTGGATTTTGTGTTGAGCGGTATTAACAATCAGCTTTTGCCGGAAAATAAACCATGGCTCGGACGCATTATGTTTTCGGATGTTAATGACGCTTCTGCAGCGCGACAAACGCAGGATTCGTTTGACGAACTTGGAAAGCTTTGGCTAGATCGATATAGGGAAGGGGAATGACGCGAATGAGATCTTTCAATGGGAACAGGTAATTAAATCGTTTCTCAAGTGTTTTAGTCAATGTGGAACTGGTGAAAAAGTGTTGGTATTTCAGGAAAATTCGGGTAGTGATATATGGTGCTTTTTTTTTTAGACAAATGAATAAAAACAATAATCCCTGACAAAAAAAGTCTTCCTTTTTTTCGATTCCTTTGACTTTTTTTGGTTTTAATAAAGAAGTTCAGGTCTAGCAGTGTTGTCACCTAACTCTTAAAAGATTTATAGCACATCCGTTTCCTAATTAGTTCATAAAATTTTTATTGCGTCATCCAAGCGCAACCACTGCAGCTTTTTTTCGTCTACCCTAACACGTAGAGTTAGCGGGATGCGTGATAGGCGTTCGCTGGTGCATCGGGGTGCAATGGATGGAACCTCCGTTGCTGCGGTTGAGATGCCGAATCCAACGGAGGATGAGAAAAAGGAACGACACAACCTTATCGTGAGACATCATCGTCATAAAGGTATTGTTTTCTACATTTACTTCCTTGCCGTTGTATTAGGTATTCCTCTGATGTTGGTGTATTACTTCACTCCTTTCTTTGTACTTGAGCAACTTCGATGCCGTGCGGGAGATAGGTTCTTTCGGACTGACCCCACAGTGCAGACTATCGAAAGGGAGTACGCCGACTACTTTGAAAGTCCGCCGTTGTATCCATCAGATGCCTACAATCTCTCAATGTTTTGGGGGACCTACGAGCCCAGCCGTATTTTTGCTATGAAGAGCCGTTCAGCTCAGCCTGTTATTGTGGGAATTGCATGGTATGATACGCCGGGAAAGTATAACTTACGGCACGTCATGCCTTTTATACATAATAAAGTTAGAGCCCCGCGTACTTCATACAAATATGGTTCGGATCCAGAGATGATGAAAATTCGTTGGCTTGCCCACGATGGGATTCACTATGGCAAGCAAATTATAGTCGATACGGCTAACAAACTGCAGATGGAAGTGGAATTTTTAAAAAGTCCTTCCGGGAATGCATGGCATGTTCGTGTGCATGCTCATGTGGAAACCCCAATTGACTTTGTGCTTTATGTGGCTAATGCGGACATGAACGAGGCGGTAAGGGTCGAGGCTCCGGATGGGCATAATGACGGTGACTGGAGCCCAGTCCTGAAAAGCAGGCTTCTTAACTATCGTTCTGAAAAGGAATCTTTCAAATTACGTGTTTATGATCATCACAGCATGTTGTACGACACGGCTCCATGGCGTATTTACGGCCTTCAGACAGACGTCGACGATAGTTTTGCCTTTACCACGGCGTATACAGTCGGGGGAACACCGGACGAGCGTACGATAGCTGACGGTAAAGGCATTACGTTCGGCCATCACGCCCATCAGCTGCAGGAGCAAAAAATAAATCTACGAAATCTGCCCGATACGGTTTTTACCTACACCGAAACTGTTGACCAATCGAGCTTCCGATCACCTAATAGTAATTCTGGCGTGGATTCGAACACAAATAACGTAATAGTAATGAAGAAGTTCTACGATACGGATTTTAGACTGGAGCTTTCGTTAAGTCCGGATCAATCCGATTCGGCCTCTAATGTCGATAAAAAAACACTCAATGGGGAAGGTACCGATTCCTTGCGAGCACCGTCGCCTTCGACCTACGAAGGGTTAACGGTTTGTCAGCTCTCCAACATCTTCCGCCGGCGTGAAAAAGCAATTCTGCGGCATATGCAAAACATTTGTCGTGACTGGGTGAACGGGTTCAGAGTTAAAGGGGATCTTTATCAACGTATCCTTGTCCAGACCCTTGGTGAGTCCCTTGGATCTTTTTCTTTCAGCACCGGATACTATTTCGAGGCCGAAAGGAGCCTTGACGAGCTGCAGGATCGGCTCGCCGTCGCGCAGGTCCCGTGGTCGGATCACCAGCTAACGCGCTCGCCCTATAAGGCGAGCGCGATGGCCGCGGTGGGCTCCCGCACTGACGAGGCCTTTGGCCAGTCATCCCTCACCGGGCTACAGCTTTTGTTCCTCTTGCGCTGGCATAAGGAGCTGGTGAAGGACGTCCTGGCCTCCTGGCTGGTGGGGGCGCAGCACCCTCAGACCGGGTTCCTCCCCAGCCTCGCCGGGTTTACCCCCGGGGTTCGTTCTCTCATGCCCGCCGAGCGGCGCTATGAACGTCCGAGCTTCGCCAGCCCCCCGATGCTTCTTTTAGGGCTGCGGGAGCTGCTGCACGAGATGGCACAGAAGGAGGCCCGCCTGAAACGAGCAAAGCCCGGGAAGCGACGGAACACGCCGGGCTACTACTCGCAGGAGCAGGACGCGGATCGGGACTTTCTCCGCGCGATCTTGCCTTCCCTGAAACGGTGGCGGCGGTGGTGGCACGCGACGCAGTGTGGGTCGCTCGTGAAGGACGCGGCGAGGGACTGCGCCGGACGACGGCCGCTCGAGGAGTGGCCGCGCGGGGTGACTGGGGATCCGGCGGATCTCCTCGTCTACCGATGGCGCTCGCGAGATGGCCACACCCTCCCTGCGAGCGGGATGAACGACTACCCGCGGGCGTTCTGCCCTGGGGAACATTACATGGAGGCCCATGTGGATCTTTTCTCCTGGATTGCACTGCTTAGTAACCTGATTTCGCAGATCGAGGTGGAGCATCTTGGGTTGCCTGCCAGTGTTGATATTGACTGGGAAGCCCACCTAGCTGCGGTACACTGGGATAGCAATCGCAGGCGGTACGCAGATCGTACGGGCTGCCTGGCTCAAGAGTTTTCCCCCTACGTCGGCTATGTGAACCTCTTCCCAATTATGCTTGGTGTCGTACGACAGGATCAGGAAAAAATCCGCGCAACTATTCGAATAGCCCGTAATGAGCTGCAGACAAAGTTTGGGCTCATGTCTGTCTCCTTCGATTCTGTGCGGCGCTATAGGGAGGCGGGGCTACCGCATCACAACGTTTGGATGGGCTACGTGTGGCCTTCCGCCAACCTTATGTTTCTTTATGCGCTTAAATCCACCTACTTGGATATTCTCGCCGGTTCGGATATTAGCAAGGATATACAAAACTTTTACACTGAACTACGATTAGACATGGCTGAGACGATACGGAATGGGAGCCGTTGGTGGGAGTTTTATAACCCTGTGAACGGGCGTGGTGAGGGCAGTAAGACCTACATCGGTACTCAAGCTCTTCTTTTGGGAATTTTAGATGATTTTTCATCCAAATAAATTTACTTTTCTAATCCTTTTTGGACTGCAAATTCGACTGAGACACAGTCATCTCTAAATCAAATTTCTTGGATTTCCTTTTTCCACGTTATTTGGTACCTTTTTGTAACAAATCAACTAAAGTAAATAATGTCATTGTAATTTTATCGGTGCAAAATCTATCCCAAAACCATTTTTGCATCACTCATGCAGTTAATGTCTAAGACTGAATAATATTACAGAATTATTATTTTTATTTTTCCTCCCGATCTACCTTCCTTCTTTTATTTTATCATTATTAATTTAACAAGTCGAGCTTTATTTAAAGACCAAACATCATGGGTCATCTCGAACAGTGGCGCTCCCGCCAGAAGATTGGCATGGGAAAAGGTTCCCGACACTGCGTGATTTGCTCCAATCAGAAGGCCATCATTCGCAAGTACGAGCTCAACATCTGCCGTCAGTGCTTTCGTGAGAATGCCGAACACATCGGCTTCACCAAGCTTCGATAAAGTGTTGATGTAATGCGATTTATTTATTTGAAAGCTCACATTCAATGTTTTCTTTTAGTTTAATATTTATTCAAATAAATTAATAAAGCGTTTATTTTTTCCTGTAGGATATTTGTTGCTGCTGCAATAAAGTTGTTAATTGGGACGGAATCTTTCACTGTGTCTTTGACTCTTCTTTTTTTTCATTCTACAATCTAGGATTGCATCCATAGAAGAACAAAAACAGCATAAAACATTATTTACATCCGTCAAGCATCCAGACAAGCGTCCTATATCGTTTACTTTCGTTCATTCCATTTCTATTCAGGAAGATGAGGTGATAAATAAGTATGTAGCCGCGGTGGAACTTCACATAAAAGAGTTTATGATCAAGTGGTATATAGGCGTCCTCATTAAAGAAAATAATTCAGGTGATCCACAAGTCTAGGAAAGGGTTGGATGGGGAAAAAAAAAGCAATCCGCATCTGTTCAAATGAACTAAATTGCTTGTAAAAGTTACTACTCCAGTCTGGTTAAAGTCTGTAGCATCAGCCTGATGAAGTAGTATAAACTGATGAAATAATATCATAATGAAAACCAAATGAGTGACCTACGGGGCGTTGGCGTGAAGTGTAGAGAGGCATGCCTTATGGTAGTTTTCTCTGTTTCTCTTGATTGAACAAAATCCAATGCAGAGATGTATGCCGTTTTATTTACATTAAATGCTGATGAAAAATAAGGGGATTAAATACATAATCGCTATGTTTGCTATGATTATTAAATGTGGTTGATATATTTGTCCTAATTTCATCAACATTTTTAGTTTTGTCATTATTTCCTTATTATCGTTATTGAATTATTTATTCTTCTTTGATCGTCTTGGACACGTATTGTTTCTTAATAATTATATGTTACTCTTAATATATATATATATATATATATATATATGTATTTGAGATTGTTATGCCTCATATTTTTTCTTTAAAAAGATGTGTCACCGCGCCATGTGTTTTGATGTGTTTTCCCTAGCTGCAGATATATGTCTATTATTAAAATAATATTATCATGCGTTTAGGATTCCTTTATTTTCCCAATATGCCTTCTTTCTGCGTTTCAGCCATTTGTAGCTTAAAACTTATTTAGCTTCAATGTGAAAATCACCATTTTAAGAAGTTCTATAATGAATTTAACTAACTCTTTTATTGAGGGTAAACCAAATATGGTTATGTATTTTCCAATTTACCGGTATTTATTTCTTTTTAGACTTAATTGATCAATAGGGGATAGCTTTTCCAAAGAATACACCAATATTGTCGTTCTTCAATAAAAGAAACTTGTTTGCAATTTAGCATTAGAAGAAATACGATGGATTCTGATGCCGACGCTTTCCTATATTTGATTTTTGTCTATGGAACGCTGATGCGCGGGGAAAACAACTACATATACTGGCTTGCGAATCCTAACCTGGTTCGATTTATCAGCACAGCCAAAACAAGTAGACGATATCCCCTATTTGTAAATCTCTTACCCGACTTCCCTGACTGTTCGCCTTGTATGCTTAATCTGCCGGATGCGACCGATTCCTGTCAGCATATTAAAGGGGAGTTGTTTCTCGTAACAGAAAAGGTATTAACTTGGCTGAACGTACTTGAGGATGTCGATGGAAATTTACACAAGCAAGTATCCATACACGTCATACCGCAGGTACCTATAGCTCAACTTCCAACTGAACGCCAGCATTTGCTTGAACCTTTTAAAGTTCAGCTGTCTTTGCACGATTCACAAGTGACAGGGACTTTTCTCAGGGCAACGGCTTATTTTCGATCGATGAACTTCCCTACAGACTGGCATAGCCCACAGCCGCAGAGCTCTACGACACTGCTGTCTCGCTTCTCTGCGACTGCCATCTTAGATAGCTACGGTTCGCGGTTTGTTGGTGGCCCAGCGCATTTTTCCTCAAAGGAGTCCGCGGTTAAACTTCAGCTAGGTCTGAATGCCCTTCCAAAAGAAATGCAACCTCCCTCGACGGTGGCGGGTGAGGTTGACTACGGCGCCCCGTTGTTCCCCGCTTGTATTGTTCTCTTTATTATTGATGGCATTGGCGACAACACCTATTCTGAGCTTGGCAACCGCACCCCACTCGAGGTGGTGGCGGGGGTGCCGCCTCGGACTGCTTCTTCAGAGCCGACCTCTGTCGTTCCCTCATGTGCGAAGCCACGGATATTGAACCTCAACGACGCGTCCTTATGTGAACAGGCTAACCCTTTTGTCTCCCCGGGCATTAATTGTCTCACGCGGTCGGGTGTGAGCGGCCTTTTGGATCCTTACCTTGCCGGGCTAAGCTGTGGGAGTGATACGGCGCACCTCAGCATGTTTGGTTACCCCCCCCATGTTTTCTACCGTGGCCGCGGGGTCTATGAGGCCTTGGGGGCGGGGCTCCCGCTCGAGGACGGCGACCTGGCCTTCAAGGCCAACTTCGCCACCTTTGCCGATCCCACTGAGGAGGGGGGGGAGGGGGAATGGGCCCCGGGCGCCCCTTTCGTGACCCACCGCTGCTGTGACCGCGACTTCGCGCGGGAGGGCCGGCTGTTAAGTCAGGCCCTCCACGGCACCACTGTCGAGGTCGACCTCGCGGGGCGGCCCTTCGACTACCCCCACGCCATCCACGTCCGGCACGCCACCGGGCACCGCTGTGTGGTCGCCCTCACAGGGGCCCGACAGGTCCGGACGGAAGCAGGGGGAGAGAGCCTGATCGGGCAGCTTTCCGACCAGATCACGGGGACGGACTGCCTGATGGACGGGCGGCGGCTGCGGCGCTGCGAGCCGACGGTGGGCCCCGACCACGCGGCCTACGACGCGGCACAATACACCAGCCGTCTGGTCGAGGCCGTCTCGGCGCGGCTGATTGTGATTCTTAAACTGCACGAGATCAATGTCGCACGGCGGGACCACAACCGCGCCGTCGCCGCCGGGACGACCCCCGGGCTGCGGCAGCGCCTGGCAAACCTCGTTCTCCTGCGTGGGGCGGCAATGAAGGGCTGGGCCCCTACTTTC